GGTTGTTGTAATAAGCCCTAAATCCTGTGTCTTCATTCAGACCTTGATTTTCAGTGTCTAGCAAAGTTACGAATTTAAGCTCCCAGGCTCGTCTTTTGAAAGTGTCGTGCAGGTTTCCTTTGAGGATGACTGAGAGGTCAGATATAGAGTGATCACTTTGTGAAAAGTCTTCACCCACAGGTAATACGGTGTTTTTGTCTTTCCTGTAGGAGTTCATTCAAGAGCGTATTGATGGTTTGGTTTCACCCACATAGTGGTGGGCATTGATCATTGTATCATGTTTGCAGGTTTTGCACCTGTTGCTCTGGTAGGGTCTGGTGCCGCTTTGAGTTGGTGTGTCCTGGTCTGTGGGGAGCTTGCTTCAGATAATGAGCTTAGAGAGGTTGGGGGGAGGGTTTTTTTTTTGAAGGCCAGAAGAGGGGGTTCAGGAAAGATTTTTTCAGGATGGGGTCCCCATCAAGTTTGAGCTGTAGTCATTTGATGATAATCCATATGGGTTCCAGTGTGCGGTGGTAAGTGACAACGAGGGGTGTGCAGTCAGAGGGGGGTTTATTTCTGTATTGAAGCAGGTTCTCTCAGGGTATTTGGGTGGCCCATTCCATGATGTGATCTACTTTTCTGGCAGAGAGTCCTTGTTTGGCGAAGGCGGTTTTAAGTGTGTTAAGATGCATATCCCAGACTTTCTCTTTGGAGCATGTTCTGTGGTCTCTGAGTGCCTGGCTGTAGATAACGGCTTTCTTGGTGTGCTTGGGGCAGTTACTGGATCTGGGAAGGTAGGTGTGCTGATCCAGGGTCTCTTGCATATTGTTGTCTGGAGGGTTCCATTGCTGACATTGATCATGGTGTCGAGGAAGTTGATGCTAGCGTGGGAGTGTTCCAGAGAGAGTTTAATAAATGGATGGTGGTTGTTGAAGTTGTGGTGGAAATCTAGGAGGGCGTTTAAGTCGTCTGTCCAGAAGATGAAAATATCACTGGTGTCTCTCAGGTATGTCATTGGTTTGGTGGTGCATTTGTCAAGAAATTCTTCTTCAAGGTGGCCCATGAAGATGTTGGCATACTGGGGGAGCCGTCCTAGTACGTTGTTCCTGTGGTTTGGACAACGTGTTTGCTGTTGAAGGTAAAACTGTTATGGGTGAGGGTGAAATGGATGAGTGTGGTGATGTGTTTGGGGTGGATATCTGAGGGTTGTCCATTGTGTTGTAAATATTTGGGGCAGGGAGCTATGCTGTCATTGTGAGGGACGTTGGTGGATAGGGAAGTGACATCCGTGGGAGGTTGTTAATGTTGTGGAGTTTGTGGAAGAAGTCTGTTGTGCTGTGGAGGAAGCTGGCCCTTTGTGCACTGAGTGGTTTGAGGATGGTTTCTAGGAGTCCCGATATTTCTTCAGTAAGTGCCATGGCCAGCTATGATGGATCTGCCTGGGTTCCCCTGTATCTTGGGAAGCACGTAGAAGGTCCCGGTGGTGGTTTAATGGGGAATGAGTTGGTAGGTCTTGGAGTTGTTTGGGGAAGGATTTGATGATATCCTTAAATTCCTGGGTAGATTGTGGTGTGGGGTTGTCTTTGAATTCTTTACAGTAAGTGGTGTCAGAGAGTTGTCAGTAGGCCTCGTTTATGTAGTTATTACAGTGGAGGACTATGATGGTGCCCCCTTTGTCTGCTGGGTTGATCGTTATCTGGTGGTTAGATTTCAGGGCCTGTATAGCTGGCCTCTCGGCAGTGGAGAGACTATGCCGGATGCGATGTTTGTTAAGGACTTCACTTTTTTTTTCCTAAGCAGTCAGTCAATCAGTGTAATGAACAAGACTGTGGTTTCATCCGCTCTGTGGCGTCAAGTCAGACAATTCTTTTTTCTCGTGATTACCAGTGGGGATGTGGCAATTGTGAGTGGCGTCGGCACTCTTGTGAAAGAATTCTTTGAGGCGGAGTTGGCGGAAGGATTCTTCCAGTTCTCCACCTGTTAGCAAGGTCTCAGGTTCTGTGGTGCGGCAGAAGTTCAGCCCCTGAGAGAGTACAGCTACCTTCAGCTCCAGTTAGGGGCAGTCTGGATAAACTGGTGATGTTTGAGTGTCGTGCCGTTAATTATTATTTAACATTTATACTGCGGTCGCACCTGGAGTTCTCCACCAAATCGAGGCCCCGCTGCACTAGGCACTGTACATACAGGTCGTAACGGGACCACATCTTCCAAGCCCAACGCGAGCATCTGCAAGACCTCCTGGCTGTCCTCCTTCAAACCCCTCTTCTCTGCTGTAATGCCTCCAATCAGCTTGGCAATGGGGGCGCTGTGACCTCTGCCTTCGCTGCTCCTTGTGCTTCCTCCGTCGGTCCGTCTGCATCTACTTGTCATCTCTTGCTTGGTTCTTAGATTGGAAGCTTTTGGGGGCAGGGCCTCTCATTTTTGTTCCATGTCTGTACAGCACCGAGCACAAAGGGGTCCTGGGCCATGACTGGGGCCCCTAGGAACTACCCTACAGGACAAGCAATAGCGTCTGCTTCTGTGTGAGAGGGAAGGCAGCCCCGGAAAGCCGAATTCCTTCAAGAGCAATATGGCTGAGCTTGTGGTGCCTTGAAGGCCAGGTCCGAGGAGAGAGTCGCAGATCCCAGGGGCTGAGAATCCCTGCTCACTCGCCTTGTCACCTCTCCTTACACCAGAGAGAGCAGCGGAGCTGTGACCCAAAGGAGTGAAGAGGAAGAGAGAGTCCATTGCTCTCCTCAGCACACAGGCTCAGGGGCTGGAAGAACTGGGTAAGAGACCTGACTCTTGACCCAAGTCCCAAGCCTGAGAGGAGCTGGCAGCTGAGGGTGCTCAGTGGGCCTCACCAGATTGGACACGGAAGGGCTAGAAATGGAAGGTGTGCAGGAAAGAGAGAGGAAAGTTCTGGCTTCACTAGCCCATTTCCACAAGCCAGGAGCCGCCCTGCCCCTCACTAGATTCATCGCCTTTTCCATTTGGATCAGGACTCCAGAAAGCCAGCTCAACAAGGGAACTCTGCAGCAGCTGTGTCTCGCTGAGAATGGGAAATAACGACGGAGGCTCGCACCAGGATGGGGTGGGGCGGCTGGAGCATGACAGCCGAGGATGGATGGGGATTTAATGCATCTCCCTAAATCCTGCCTGCCTCATCAAAGAGCAGCTTAATCTCTGCCTGGGAGGTGCAGCGAAGCAAAGCAAGCACTAGGCCTCTGGCACAGTTAGTTCCTAGAGCCAAAAACCCTGCCACAGCCCAGATGCTTGTTGCCGTCTCTGCATCCCTCCCAGTCACACATCCCTTCCCACTCCCAAGGTTTTTGCTCCACCAGCAGCCAGGATACACTAACTCAGGCACAGCAAGAAACATGCCTCAGAATATCAGGTCGACCTTCAGAGAGGAAGGATAGACTGTGGTGAAGGCACTGGAGTGGTACTCAAGAGACTGGATTCAATTGCTCGCTCTGCCTCAGACTCCGCGGGCCTCGCTTCCCCACAGGGCTAATAATCATTCCGTCATCTGTCCGGTCTATTCAGATTGCAAGCTTTCAAGCTCTTTAGGCGGAGACTGTCTCTCACCTTGCACAATGGAGCCCTGACCTCGGGGTTGGTGCTATTGTAGTAGAAACAAAAACCATCATCTCTCGCCTTTAAGCAACCGGATCTGGGGAGGGGTACGAATTCTCCTTCTTGTTCACAGCGAAGCCCAGGCACTGTGAGAGTCAGTTTCTCCAAGTCATAAAGCCAGTGGCCACTGGAGGAATCAAGAACAATATTCTGGCCTCCGATGGTTAAGAAAGATGAATTCAAACTGGAAGAGGTGCAGAGAAGGGCCACCAGGATGATCTGAGGAATGGAAAACCTACCTTCTGAGATGAGATGCAAAGAGCTTGGCTTGTTTAGAAGTCTGAGGGGAGATATGATTGCTTTCTATAAATACATCAGAGGGATAAATACCAGGGAGGGAGAGGAGTTATTTAAGTTAAGCTCCAATGTGGACACAAGAACAAATGGATACAAACTGGCCATCAACAAGTTCAGGCTTGAAATTAGCGGAAGGTTTCTAACAATCAGAGCAGTGACATTCTGGAACAACCTTCCAAGGGGAGCAGCGGGGCAAAAAACCTAACTGGCTTTAAGACTGAGCTTGATACTTTTATGGAGGGGATGGCACGATGACGCTGCCTATGATGGCATGTAGCCAACCTGTGACTGCTAGCAGCAAATATCTCCAATGGCCGGTGATGGGACACCAGATGAGGAGGGCTCTGAGTTACTACAGAGAATTCTTTTTCTCATGTATCTGCCTGGTAGGTCTTGCCCACAGGCTCAGGCTCCAACTGATCACCATATTTGGAGTCAGGAAGGAATTTTCTCCCGGGTCAGACTGGCAGAGACCCTAGGGGGGTTTTGCCTTCCTCTACAGCATGCGGAACGGGTCACTTGCAGGTTTAAACTACTATAAATGGCAGATTCTCTGTTATTTGAAGTCTTTCGTTTAAATCATGATTTGAGGACTTCAGTAACTCAGCCAGAGGTCTATTACGAGTGGGCAGGCGAGGTTCTGAGGTCTGTGATGTGTGGGAGATCAGACTAGACAATCACGATGGTCCCTTCTGGCCTTAAAGTCTGAGAGTCTAAGAAGCCAGAAAGGCTACAATGGTGCAGGATGATTATTTCCCAGCTTGACAGCCCTGGAGACTGACAACTCTGTCAATCCAGAGCATGTGTGGCAGCAGGGCAAGCTTCCCCCACAATGGTGCACAAATGGCATTCCACCCTAACGCAGAGAGGGGCTAAGGATCTACAGGGCATTCAGTCCTTGGCCTCTCTGCTCAGGCTGCCAAGACTGCCACCAGTTAACACAGAGGAGATGGGGCAGGTTTGAGATACTGACGCCCATACGACTGCTATAATAGAAGAGTGCAAGCTGGGGCCCACATTCTGAAGCAGAAGGTAGCGTGCCCCAGTAGTAGGCTTCATAAGGAACACAACAGTAGCTGCTCCCCAGGCACCACGTGGCCTCTTACCCCGGAACTTCTTGGGTGGATTATCCAGATCGCCAGCTGCCGGCTCCACCACACACCGATCATCCACCAGCCTGGAAAACAAGCAAGCAAACAACATTTCAGAGACAACGACATTACAGCCCATACTTCAGCGCGCTCAGCGGCCTCGCCACAAACCACAGAGCTGCCAAAGAAGCTGTGCTATTGTCACATGTTTCAGGTCTAAACGTCGCTAACGTTACACAATGCTGGACCCACAAGACGACTTCCTGTGTTGTCGACCTAGATATCTGGACTCCATAAATACCTATCACCATAGCAGTTAGGTCCTCAATCAACTTCTACTGGTCAGGATCCTCCACCCTGTATAACCTCCTGGGATTTTCACCATCCAGCGTTATGGGCTGCACGCTTGCCCATCTCTCAGTCCCCTAGGATGAACCACTGCAGATATGCATTGCTGGCAAAGCTTCTGATGTTCTCTATTGAGAATGCCCCCACTAGAACGCTTCTGCACCTTATTTACCAATCCAGGCGGCAAAATCTCACATATAAATCCTGAAGGTGCTACTGAAGGGGAATCCTGTACTTAGCTTGGAGATACTCCAAGTATGGCACCGAAATAGGTGGCTGAGTAAACAGCCATCCTGCCTCCTGGAACACCTAGGATTCCCGGCAGTATTTTGGAGCTTCTGCTTCTAACCCCAGCATAACTCGGTGGACAAAAAAAAAAAAAAAAATGAACCAACTGTACAAGAGGGATAGCATGAGACACAAAGATGAGCTCCAGACTGGAGCTTTCCCAAAAGTTTGGGACTGTTTGGATCCAGGGCTTTGCCCTGGGCCTCTCTGTAAAACACATCCAGTTAAGTGAACTGTTTTGAAGGGAGTTTTGAGCTCAGTTCTCATCTTCTCCAAACCAGTTCAACCATCCCCTTGTTTTAGCCTGCACTGCTCTGGCCCTTTGTATGTAATTATTCCGCCCTGATATGAGAATTCAGGATCACATAACTTGGTAGGCAAGCGTCCTGTCTTATTAAATGTGCAACTCCATGCTCCTTGGGCCTTGCAACTCTAAGTGTTACAGCCCCCTTTTCTTCATGCTTTCGGTGGGTCCTCCAAGAGCCACCACTCATCTCATTTCTAAGCGAATGATCTGATATTATTACTGGGAAAAAGCATGCAATGGCAATACTGTTATGCAGTGGGGCTGGAACAATTTTTATAGTGAGGGTCCTGAGAGCCATTGAACCAAACTGCAAACCCTGTACATAATGGAAACCACTTCAAGCCAAGGGGTGCGGCAGCCGCCCCAGTTCCAGGACCTGTGCTGTTGTGGATGAATAGTTGATACTAAGAACTAGGGAATCACACACTTCGGTGCTTCTGTCAGCTAAGCTCACTGAACTCAACAGGGCCTCTCATCCTTCCATTTTCTTCATCAGGTCGCTGTGTGTCACGCCCCCCCTTCCATCCCTCTCTATTTCAGGGACCCCAATACCACCTCCCTCATGCCCAGGTCTCTGCATGTCCCCCATTCTCCCCTCACACTGGGGGCTCTGGGTGTGTCCCCTCAGTTTTAGGGGCATATGTAAAAACATAAGTAGTTAAACTTGTATAATTTCTAAAGTGTTGAAATAAGTCTTTTCTTTCTGGCTGGGAGATCAGTCATTCAGGATGTCAATATTTAAAACTCCATTTAGATAATGGGCAGAGATGAAATGAGGGTATTATGCAGGAAGCTATTAATGGATAACATCAGCTGATGCTTTGATCTATAGACAATTACAGACCTCATTAAAGATGATAGGTCTGCTACCCAAATGCCCGGGGCTCCATGTTCCCCCTATTTCCTTCTTTGGGGCTTTTCTGATTTTCAAGAAAATCCACAGGGTTCTGCCCTTTGATGCCTAGAACTTTCCCTGACATTTTGGCATTGATTGGATATGGTGCTCAGAAGTTATTTTGCTCCAGACAGACAGAGAAATGCCATCATGTTGAGTGTAGGACTTCACTTCACCAAACAGACCAAAGCCAGACCTCCCTCCCCATGATACCTGATCCAAAACATGCCCAGATTTTGTTCTGCCAAACAAAATAACTTGACAGACGAGGGCTTGCAAAAGCAAAGCCGCACCCTGTTTTGCCCACCTCTCATCTGAGTGTTACTCAACTGCTGCTCCACATGCCTCATCCTATCCACACATACCACCTTGTAGGCGTCAGGATCTCCCCCAGGCCCTGCAAGGACCAGGCATAACTGGGGAACAAGCTCCTCCAGTGAGGCAAGCCATACCTGCTATTCTACTTCATCTTTCCATCCCGGCCATTTAGAAGAGATACGCTGAGGGAAACTGCATGCTCTGGTAAGCACTTGTCTGCCAAAGGGGAACATAAGAACGGCCAGACTGGGTCAGACGAATGGTCCATCTAGCCCAGTATCCTGTCTTGTGACAGTGGCCAATGCCAGGTGCTATACAGATAATGAACAGAACAGGGCAATCATTGAGTGATCCACCCCGTTGTCCACACCTAGCTTCTGGCAAAGAGAGGCTAGAGATGCTCAGAGTATGGGGTTGCATCTCTGCCCATCCTCCTTAATTGTCATCGATGGACCTATCCTCCATGAACATATCTAGTTCTATTTTTAGCCCTGTTATAGTTTTGGCCTTCACAACATCCCCTGGCAAGGAGTTCCACAGGTTGACTGTGCATTGTGTGAAGAAGCACTTCCTAACATTTGTTTTAAACCTGTCTATTAATTTCATTGGGTGACCCCTTGTTCTTGTGTTGTGTGTGGGAGTAAATAACGCTTCTTTATTCACTTTCTCCACCCCATTAATGATTGTGTGGACCTCTCTCATACCCCCCCTTAGTTGTCTCTTCCAAGCTGAAAAGTCCCAGTCTTTTTAAATCTCTTCTCATATGGAAGCCGTCCCGTACCTCTAATCATTTTTGTTGCCCTTCTCTGTACACCTTTTTCAATTCTAATATATCTTTTTTTGCGATGGGGCAACCAGATCTGCATGCAGGGTTCAGGGTGTGAGTATACCATGGATCTATAAAGAGGCATTATGATATTCTCTGTCTTATCTATCCCTTTCCCAACAGTTCTTGACACTGTTAGCTTTTTTGATTGCCGCTGCAAATGGAGCAGATGTTTGCAGAGATATCAGAGGCCCCTGCCTGCCGCAGGCTGCTAAAGACAATGGGGCTGAATTCAGCCCGCGGAACAAATCGTGGAGTGGCTGGAGGAAGGCAGATGGGATGCAGACTCCAAGGGATCCGAGATCAACCAATGGGCCTTCATCAGCCCTCATGCACAGAGCGGGAACGGAGGCAGAGAGAGACCAAACAATTTACCCAGCATTACCCAGGCATTTGTGGCAGAGCTGGGAACCGAACAGGATCTTGTGAGTCCTGGGCCAATGCCTTAACCACACCACCACCCTTCCTCGCGGGATCGTGCCACCTGGTTGCACCAAAGTAATCTCACAAGTGGTTTTGCCACGAGCCTGGAGCAGGACACGACACCTCAGAGGATTGACAATGGCATCCAGGGACTCAGAGGTCTCTGGTTCCAATCAGACACTAACTGGCTTGCCCAGGCCGAGGACTGCACTGAGCCACACAGACTACGCTCCTCTCTCCTCCCCTTGAGGCTGCTGCTCCGGCTCAGCATGGAGACACCTCGGGGGGGCTGTAGAATGAAGCTTCGGCTGCCATTGCCCGAGCTGAACTTGGTCTGGGCAGAAAGAGACTCCGTTCCCACCCCCGCTAAATTCTGTCCTCAGTACACGACCATGGGCCAGCCCCCTCTCTGCAGTAACCCCACTGCAATCAAGGGGATTATGCCACGGAGCAGTGCAGCCCAATTTAATGTTGGCAGGTAGAATACAAGGAGGGAAAGCTTCCCAGAGCTCTGCCTTTCGGGGCAACCCAGGTTAGCACCACCCACCAACTCCGCAAGCACAGCTCAAGCCTTACAGCTCACTTCCCCGAGCTCAGACACCCCCAGCCCACCTCTGAAATAGCCATGAGCCGGAAAACCACTGGCAGCATTCATATCCGAGCTCCTGGGTACAAAGTGAACGCACCGAGCAGGGCTTGGGCCTGCGCTTATGCACAGACATGCCCCGGTGTCTCCAAGCAAGCTGGATATTCGGTTTGCAGAGAACTTCCCTCTTCCCCCGCGCTTGAACTGCTCTCCACCAACAGCGCTCTGGCTGTGGGGAAAATGCCTTTCGATTGCTCCATCCCGAGGAATTTGGACTCTGCTCTAACTCAGGGGGAGCCAGGAGACCCCCAACGAGAGGAAAATGCCACGGCGTCCTTGAAATAGGCGGCATGGGCAAGCGGAGACCAGAGAGGTGATTAAAAAGAGAGAAAGCCAGGAAGCCGATCTCAGTCACATTGGTATCAATCCAGAAGCCACTCTGGATTGACACCCGTGTGTCTCAGCAGTCAGAATCTTACCCAAGTCTTTACCAACACCTCCTTCAAGTGACCTCTCCCTCCCCCTTCCCTATTTGCTGGAAGTCTGGGTCAGGGAAATGGCTACTTCCTGTTTAATTCTCTCAGATGTCTTTTAAAGCTATTGCAACAGAAGCTCTCAGGTGCATCAGAGATCAGTACAGCACCTGGCACAACGGGGGCCTAAATTAATAAATAAAGTTCCGTCTGCCACCCTGATTCTGCCTGGCCCTCTCCCCATTCTCACCCAGCTACTCAGCAGCAGGTTTGAGGAGAACGACCCTCCAGCAGTTGAGTTTATTGGGAATTGGTCACACGTAGCTCTGTCCAGTAACCTCTGCCAGGACGTGGGTTACAGGCAGATCCTATGAACTGGGAGCCTGACACGAAGTCCATGGAATCCACGAAGAAGACTCCCAGGGACTACACTAGGCTTTGGAGGAGAGGACATGGGATCGGGTGGGCATTGTACTGAACCAATGCAATGTCTGTAAACCAATGCTGCACCGCAAGGAGGACGATTGTGCTGCTGGAGTTGTAAATGACGTCAGAAGTGCATTCAGCCGTGGTCAACTCCCGGGCTACCTTCATAAGGCTTGTGAGCCCCGGAGGTTTTCTT